GCCATGTCTACAAATTATATCTTCATAGAAAAATTTTGCTACAGTGAGGGCTAGAGTATCTGGTATAGGTTTTGCTTTTGGCCATTTTGTCAGGTATTCTGTTGCAACAATGATATATTTATTTCCTTGTTTGGTTTCTGGTAAGGGTCCTACAATGTCCATTCCAATCATATCAAAGGGATGATTTACTGCTATTGGGTGTAAAGGGTTGGTTTTTGGAGGGTTTCCTCTTTTTTGACAGGCATCACATGCTTGTATGTATTCTCTAATATGTTTCTGCATTTCTGGCCAAAAGTATTTCTTTGCGATTGCTGTATATGTTTTGTCAAAAGAAAAATGTCCTGCACTAGGATCATAGTGCATTTGATAAAGAACTGCTTCTATATCATTAATTTTTAATACACGAAGGAGTATAGAATTATTAAGAGAAGGCTTTTTAAATAATAAATTGTTTTGAATAAAATAAGAAATAGCTTTTTGTTTAATACTAGCTTTTTGTGGAGAAGGTAAATTAGGTGGAAAATTAAGAGTTTGAAGATAATTATAAATAAGATTATAGGTAGAGATATCCATAATGAAATATAATAAATAGTAATATATAATAATAATATAAAGAAATAAAAAAAATATTGTTTTGATTTAAAGTTTAGATTTGTTGGGGGAGTCTGGATAGACCATCAGCGTTTTTATGTATTTTTCCTGCTCTATATTGTACAGAAAAATTGTAACCTTGGAGATTCATAATCCAACATGCAAGTCTTCCTGTTGGATTAGCAATTTTGAACAGAGAGCACAATGCAGAATGATCAATAATAATTGTAATTGTTGTCTGTGTATGTAAGGGTGAAAGTGTTTAATTGACCAGACAACAGCTAGACATTCTAGTTCTGTTGCAGAATAATTTTGCTCAGGTTTGTTTAGAGTATGCTATAGCATGTTCTTTGTTATCATCTCCTATTTGTGATAATACTGCACCAAGAGCTATAGTCGATGCATCTGTGTAGAGTAAGAATTCTTGTCAAAATTTGGAAATATAAGAATAGGAGCTGAGATAAGTTTTTCTTTTAAAGTTTCAAATGCTTTTTGTTGTTCTTCTTTCCATTCTAGTTTAATATTTTTCTTAAGCAGTTGGTTCATTGGGGTTGCTATTTTTGAAAAGTTGGCAATAAATCTTCTATAATAGAAAGCAAGTCCAAGAAAAGCTCATATTTGGGTAATAGTTTTAGGGACAGGATAATTTTTAACCTTTTCTATTTTTGCTGGATTGGGTGAGACTCCATTTTTACTAATTATATGTCCTAAAAATGCTAATTCTTGTTTGATAAAAAAGTATTTTTTAGGTTGAAGTTTAAGGTTTGCTTTTCTAATATATTCAAATACAAGATGAAGATGTTGGATATGTTCATCAAAATTTTTGAGAAGATATTGATGTTATCAAGATATACTACAACGAACTTCCAAAGATATTCTTGTAATATATTGTTCATTAAGCGTTGAAATGTGGCTGGGGCATTAGTTAATCTGAAGGGTATTACTTTGAATTCATATAGTTCATGTCGAGTAGTAAATGCAGTTTTGGATACATCTTGAGGAGCCATAGCTACTTGCCAGTAACCACTTGTTAGATCTAGAGAAGTGAACCATCCAGATCCTTGTAATATGTCTAAAAGTTCATCAATTCTTGGTAAAGGATAACTATCTTTTTTAATTATTGCATTTAATTTTCTATAATCTACGCAAAAATATAGTTTTCTATTTTCTTTTTGATGATAACAACTGAAGAGGCCCAAGGACTTTTAGAAGGCTGGACAAGATCTAGTTTTAACATTCTTTGAATTTCTTCCTTAATAAAATCTGATTCTTTAGGAGAGGTTCAATAAAATTGTTGCTTTATAGGTTTATCATTTTCAACTTCAATTTCATGTTAGATTTCGTTAGTTCTTCCTAGATCAGAATCATTTTGAGCGAAGATATCAATATATTCATTAACAAGATCATAAAATTCTTCTTGTTGTTTTTCATCTAATTCTCCAACATTAAGTTTAGGAGGAGGATCAAAAGAATCTTCTATTTTATCTTCATAGAATGTTGGTAAGATTTCTTGAATTTCATTTCATTCTTCATTAGTTTTTGTATGACAATATGGGCATATTTGCTTTAAGTTTTCTTTTTCCATTTCTTGCCAAAGATTAAGGGTATAAATTCTTTCTTCAAGTTGTTCACTTTCATACTCAGTGGATTCATCAGATTCACTTGAGGATTCATATTCACTTTCACTTTCATCAGAGCTTTCTTCTTTTGTTTTTCCTTTAGATATAGCTTCAACTCTTGGAATTCCAGTAATATGTCTAAATTCAATGGGAACTTGAATTTTTACATTTTTATTTTTAATCTTCATTACTGATTTTTCCCAGTTAATTTTTGCTTTGGTTTTGGATAGCCAGTCATTACCAACGATTACAGAATATATGTCAGTATCTGCAACTACTACATCAATTGGTAAGGAGTATTCACCAATTTTAATAGGTAGATTTTCTACTTCTCCAAGAGGTCTTCTCTTTTTATCATTTACATTCAGCATTAAAGTTGTTGATGGTTTTGTAATTTCTAAGCCAATACGTTTGAGAAAATGATTAAAGATAATACTTCCAGCAGAACCACTATCAAGAATAATATTGGTAGTGACTCCATTAACATTGGCTTGACAATATAATGCTGTAGTTCTAAATTTTCCATCATCTGCATATTGGGCAGTAACCATAGGTTCAGGAGCAGATGTAATCTTTTTCTTTCGAAGGCTTCTACTTAATTCTCTTAAATATTTGAGGTTTTTAGCAGCGAGTTGAGCAATAGAGATATTTGCTTTGATTTGTTGTAAGTCTTCAACAATCGAATATTTTGATACATCTTTACCAATCGTTGGTTTATGAAATCTTGGACCTTGTAGAGGATTTCTTTTCTTTTTGGTTTTAGGAGTTTTAGAACTTTCTACTTGAGGATCATTTACTACAATATTTTGAACTTCTGGAGTTTCATTTTCTTCTACTACTTTTCTTCTTTTTTCTACATAGGCTTTATTAATATTATTTTTATCATCTTCTTTTAAATACATCATCGAAGGGTTTGTATTATCTTGAGAAGCATCAGGACCTTCTGTATTCACTGACACTGATTCAAGTTTAAATATTGTAAAAGAGTGGCTAATTGTTGTGTGAGTTGATTAGGATTATTATTATTATTATTATTTTGTGGTTGATTGTTATTATTTTGAACAGGGTTTGGGTGATTGTTATTTCTGGGTTGATTATTTTTAGGTTGATTATTATTATTTGTTGGAGGGTTATTTTGTTGGTTGTTATTATTTCTTGGGTTAGGACAATCCCAGGCAATATGTCTAGGTTAAAAACAGTTAAAGCAAACAGGTTCTCTTTGATTGTTATTATTGTTGTTATTGTTATTATTATTGTTTTGGTTGTTTCTTCTAGAACGGTTGCTGTTTTCTAATTTCTTTTCAATTTTCTTTTTAAGGTTTTCCATACATTTATTGAGAGCTTCCATTATAATTTCAATAGAATTAGAAGATGTAGGAGTTGGAGTAACAATATTGTTGTTAAGATTAGGAGTAATATACATTGCAGCACCATAACGAGTAAGTTCACAAGTTTTTGCTCTGTTAACTACTCCATCCCAAGTATTTTCACCAAATAGACATACTGCCATTTGTAATTCTGTTCTTAAACCAGTAGTAAATTTATGAACTTTTTCTATTTCTGGATAAACATTGGCATTCATTTCTAATCGACGATATAATTCATGTAGACGCATAGCATATTGGTCTACAGTTTCAGTTGGTCCTTATATACAGTGAGTTAGTTCGGTAGCCTAAATGGATCTTGATTACTACCAGCAAAAGGTATAATTTCGATAAGTTTAGTTTCTCTTTGTCCAAGACGATTAGTATTATTGGCAACAGCATTTGTTTGATTTTAAATACAGTTATCTAATGCTTGAATAGCATTAATTAAATTATTAATATCTTGTGCTTGTAATGCCATATTATTATTATTTGGAGGTAATAAAG